CCCAGCTCCTCCCATATCTCCTCATCACTATTTCCTGACAACTTCGTGTACTCTCTTTTTCATTTTTTTTTAAATGGGACTATTTGCTACTCTAACATTCCCCCCTCTGAAGAGGTAACCCTAAAATCTTTTAGGGATTAGATAAGAGCTCCCAAATACTTTTGACATTTTTGTGGTGGCCCACACCTTTAATCCCAGCACTACAAAGGCAGAGGCAGGTGGTTCTCTGTGAAATCATGGCCAGCTTGGTTTACATAGTGAATTCCAGGTGGCTACAGGAGACCCTGTCTCACAAAGACCAAAAAACCAAAACCTAAAACCAAAACAAAACAGAAAAACAAACTAAACAACAACAAAACCCAGTAACAACAACCACAATAAAAACACACCAAAAAACTATGTCTGCTCTCTTTGAAATTGGTATCAGGTCTGCAGCTGTACGATGATCACTGCTTGGTCTCACTGTCCTTTCCAAGACATCAGGACTATTGCAATTTTGTACCCTTGCAGAACTTGATTCTGGAAGTGACTATGAGGAATGGTTGCTTTTCTTTAATAAAAGGGCCCATTTTGTAAAATTTTCAAGAAACTTGGAATCTAATATTTTAAAATTCCCAAGGCAAAAGTTTATTCTTTTAGTATTTAATAATTTAACCAATCTTGTGTGATTTTGAGGAAGTCTTCACATTTTTCTATTACAAGGTTTTAGTCCTGATATAGTTTTAATATTAAAGTGAAAAATAACAGCAAATGATAGAAGTGGTGTTTAAAGTTAGGAATGACTAGTGTACTGATAAAGAAGGCTGATGATTTCCTCCAACCCCTCCTTCCTGCTCTCTCTGCTTTTCCCCTCCCTCCCTTCCTTCCTTCCTTTTCGTGAGCATAGGTATGATGTATGTGTGTGACATACTATGCATGTGTGTTTTCAGGTGCACAAGCCCATGATTTTGCATGTGGAAGTCAGAGGTTGATGGTGCATATCTTCCTCTACTTTTGAGATGGGTTATCTCTGAACCCAGAGCTCAGTTTTGGCTAGACTGACTGACCAGAAAGTCCTGGGCTTTACGGTCTTTGCTCCTCCAGTGCTGAGATTACAGGCGTTCACCACTAGGCCTGACTTTCACATTGGGTACTCTAGACTCAAACTCAGATTCCTCATGCTTTCATAGCAAACACTTTACCCACTGAGGCACTCCTCATTCCAACCCCCATTTTTTAAAAAATAAACTAGGAAAAGAAATAGGAGAGTGGTGAAGGAGCCCAGCAGTAAAATGTTTACTAGTACACACACACAAAACCAAACCAAACCAAAACAAAAAACAAGCAAACAACAAAAAAACCCTCAGAGGTGTTAAGTGAGTCTCCCAAGCCCTTGTTCTCTCTTGCACTGTACAGAGACAGTGCCAGTTATGAGGTGTTTGCTAACAGTCAAACCAAAGGAGGCAGTATCAGAATATAAATCCATGTACCAAGATATGTCCATTTTTTTTTCCTGTAGAGACTTTTTGGTGAAAAAAGCCAGAGGAAGGAAATACTGATTTAAGTTCTGGTTAATCCTCCTTTAATTTCACAGACATGTAAGGAATCATGCCATTGAGTAGCACTGTCTACCTCTTATTATCTGTGTGACAGTATGTAAATTTCTTTTTTCTTGGAATGAACAGAAAATAACCAAGACTATGCCTCCTTCCTTTCTTTCTTTGTTTAACCTTTCTTCTATATGGTAGACCTTGAGTTTTTCATGATCGGTTACAAAAGATAAAATTTGGAATTCACTGAAATTGACCTTGTAATGTAGATACTGAAAGCCAGGTTGCTGGAATCTTCCTTGACAGTAAAGGAATTTCTGTTTCTAGCACCTACTATAAGCAAGTACTCAACAAAATTTGTTTCAATTGTTACACTGAAAGAATGTAACCCTTACTCTTCTGAGAATGTCATACATGTTTTTCTAAACAGGCCTCATAATGGACAATGGGACTTGCATCTCCTTGGAAAATTGCCCATGTAGTTTCCATGGATTAGCTTATTCAGTTGGTTCGAAAATTGAACAGGAGTGTACTGAATGGTATGTGATCAATGAATAGTGAATTATTTGTGGGTATTGGGCCAGTTAACAATTATGATGTAGGAATCTAGTAGAAACTGTTCATTGCTTTTTTTCTTCTCCAAACTCTGAGATGCAGTGTGTATTTTATTTGAAATGCACAGGGTAGTTATTTTTGTGTTTTGTGTCTTGCTTCCGTTGGCAATTTCATGAAATCTTAGGCCCTTATCCTTCCTGCCTCATTTTGTGATTTGTAATCATGAATGCATACTTTTAGAACTTGATGGTGTTCTTTGACTTGTGTATTGGTATTTTAAAAGGTGACTATTTCCAATTACCCAAGGCTCTGAGTAGACATTAAATCCTTCCGGGATAGTTTGAAGAAGAAGAAATGGAAGGCTATATGCCATTGGTTCTTTTCTCTTTCCTGTTAGCGTATACAAGACATGTAATTATATAACTAACCGTGTTCTTAGATGGTGACATAGTCACAGACTCTTTCTTTCCTCCCAAACTCTTCCCTTAGTGAAGGTGGAAGGAAGCATTTATCTTATATAAAAAGACATCTCTTTTCTTGCCAATGTCTTGATGACATTAAAATTAGATACGCAATGGATAATAATCTATGTACAAGGCAGGTCACAATTATTAGTAAAATTTTAGAGATATTCTTAGATAATTCAAAATCTATTAACTTGATATACTTTGGTATATTAATCAATATATTGAAGCAATCATTGCTACAGTTTCTATAAGGTAGTGCACTAATGTCTTTATTTTATTTAGTGTATGTGTTGGTGGAGTCTGGAACTGCACTGAGCATGACTGTCCAGGTAATCTTTTAAAATATTGAAAAAAATCTTTTAAAAGAATCGTATTTTTTTAACTTGGAGGAAAATAACACTTTTTATGAGTTTATTTCATATATATCAAAGAATGTAATAATCTGTAATTCACATACAGAGGATAAATGGAAAATTGAATACATGACACCCTTGAGCTGGCAACTTTGGTAAAATTTTGTTAAAATGTATAAATATAAGGCTAAAAATATATGAAAGCTATCATTTAATACGTTTTGGATATAGTTGAATGATAGTATAATACATTTGACAGAGCAGTAAAAATTTAACAGATTTTCCTCTTGTTGAATGTTTATCCTATTGACCAGTTTTTTAAAGAATTAACACGACTTTTCTTCCTATTTCTCCATCTTCTTCTATCCCTGCTTACTCTTCTCTCTTTCCTTCTTTCTGCTAGTTCAATGCTCTGTTGTGGGTGACTCTCATTTCACCACCTTTGACGGTCGGCATTATTCTTTCATTGGCTTGTGTCAGTACATCCTTGTCAAAGGAACTGGGAAAGATAAATTCACAATTACTTTACAGAAAGCTCACTGTGAAGAGGTAAGAACAATGTCTATCAATAAGGAGAGGAGCAATCAGATTTCAGAGTTAAAGTCTTCATCTAGGTTGGCAGTAATTGTTAAGCTAAATCACTATACTTAATATATTAATAAGGTATGTCATAGTTTTTAATGTATCACAAAAGAAAGAAGGGATGTGGATCTTTACTCATGACATATTGACGGCATTATGTATCCTGATTTTAGAGATAATAAATATGAAAACAAATGTATGTAATGTATATTGAATTTAAAGGTGGTTTATACACACAGGCTTTTTGCATTATTTCACAAGAGGACTAAGTTTTCACTTACTCCAAAACCAGCTATGTAATGGAGAAGACTTTTTTGGGGGGTGGGGGTGGAGAAGGTGGGTTAGGATCCAATGGGTTTCTTATCATCCTAATGAAACATGATTAATTCAGACATATTATAATATTTATTTTAGATCTTTTCTTGAAATAATAAATGTTTGTAATGTCTTTCAAAAAAGAAAAATTTCTTCAAAAAAAATTTCTTTCAGAAAAGAAAAATTTCTTTTAAAAAAGTTCAAAAACTTTCAAAAAAAGTTCAAAATTTTGCCAGAACCTTTACTTTTCTAGTTTTAGTCCAATAAAAAGTTATTTCTAAGGAAACATTCTGAACTACTTTGCTTTTCCCCTAGATTTTTGTTGTTGTTGTTGTTGTTTTTTGAGGCAGGGCCTCCCTGTAGCCCCAGCTGGCCTAAAACTCATTGTGCAGACCAGGCTGCACTCAGTCTCACAAAGATCTGCCTGCCTCTGCCTGCCTCTGCCTCCCAGAGTGCTGAGATTGAAGGCGTACATCACCATGCCAGACTTTGTTTTTGAGAAAAGGCCTTGTTGTGTCACATAGGCTAGCTTTAAACTTGCAGCAATACTCTTGCCTCAGCATCCTGGGTGCTGGGATAATAGATATGAGCCACCATGACTGGTCTGAGTTTGATTCTTTTATTTGAAATTTATTAGCATCTGACTTAATTTTCCAAATAGCCTAAATTCCTTGGTTATATTCTTTATTGACAATTCTGTCAAGCATACTAGTTCAGTCATAAGCTATGTATTTTTTTTATAAGCTATGTATTATGAAACTAATTATTGGTACTTTACTGAAAACATTTTTATTCACCATTTTGTGTAAAATATATGTGTATGTGTGCTATAGTTGATATACCATAAAAACTATATTTTACTGGGGTGGGGTCATATGGAATGGGTTGTGTAACAGTTGTTTTATTGTGTCACTAACACCCAAGCTTTCTATACACCAGAGATTCTTATTTGTCCATACTCTTTCTCTGTTTTCTCTTTCCCTTTCCCCCATCTGTCTTGTCTTTTTCTATGTCTATTTCTTGCTCTCTTTTCTTTCACCAATACTTTGATTGCAGAATCTTGGCTTGGTCTGCCTTCAGTCTATAACTCTAATTCTGGAGGATGATTTTAGCAAACAAGTGACTCTCAGTAGGGGAGGCCAGATCCTCACCAGTCCTAACCAAGGCTTCAATCTGAATGGTAAGAAGCAATGTTGTGCATTAGAATTCACAAAAATACAGCCTATATGGTACCTTTTCCTGTTGATTGGCTACAAACATTTACTAAATGCTTGTGCCACCAGGTTTTCAGAAAGAGTGAAGGTCATCATGTTCATGGGGCCTAGTGTTTTCCTCAGGTGGCTTAGAATTTGGACAAACATACAGTTGCTTGCAATAAAATGAGATATTTGTATAGGAACTTTGTGGGTTTAAATGAGGTGCAACCCATTCAGCGCTGGGGAGGGACTTGCAGAAAGGGTCAGAAGAGTTTTCTGAAGAAGATGATGTGTCACTGAGCATTTAAATCCAAACAACTCTAGGATGAAGGAAGTGGGGAAAGTACTCCATGCAGACAAGGGTCATAGGGGTGTGTAAAGCCTGTTTGTTTGGGAGTTAATGTAACTGAACTGACATTGCTGCATCCTGGTCAGCTAACAGAAATTATCCAGAGCTGAATTTAGGAAAGTAGGTGGTGGTAGGCAGTATGCATAGGGCATCAGACATGGTGGTTCCTGGGACAGGCCCTGCTTATGCTTTGAACTGCAGCATGTTAAGAATACTGTTTTACTCTCGGAGCTGGAGAGATGGCTCAGTGGTTAAGAACACTGGCTGTTCTTACAGAAGACCTGGGTTCAAATCTCAGCACCTACATGGCAGCTAACAATTATCTGGAACTCCAGTTCCAGGGGATCAGACACCCTCTTCTGTCCTTTGCAGGCACTGCATGACACAGGTGTACTTAAATACCCTCAGCATGCAAACTCTTAGAAATGTTCCAACTTGTGCGTTACAGATTACGTGTTCATGCTATGTTGGTGTCATTTACTTCATATATAAGTAAATAGAAAATTGTGTCATTGTTTGACAATTTTATTTAATGGTGTTCCACATGGTTTAACCAAATAAACAGTGCACACCCCACCTCCATGCCACACATACACACACTACAACCCCTTCAACCTCCCACCACACATACATCACATGTACACACTACACACATATCCCACATACCAAACACAACAAATACCACACATGCACTATGACATAAACATACATACCTCATCTTTCTTATCACACTACACACATATACACTCATACACACAAACTCATCCCACATATACACCAAACATTCAATACCACACACATGCTATATATATCCCCCCCCACACATAAGACATACATATATACACCATATACATGTTCCACACCCCACATACACTCACCCTGCACATATGCCATACACACCACCACTCATACACTATATATATTGTGCACACACCACACCCCCACACTCCCATACTATATCACACACACACACACACACCACTCCACACACACAGAGTACACATGCCCCCCACTGCATACACACACTACACACACAAACCATACAATACACACCACACACATACATCACACAAACCACATAATACATACACTAACCAGAACAAACATCCTCACCCCCCACATCATGGCACATACATACACCACAAACACATACACCATATACCTCTCACATACACACCACATACACACTCCACACACACACTATGCAGTACCCCCACCACATATCCACACACCACACATACACCCATACATACTACAGAGAAGACATTAAAATTCAAATGTCTAAGAATTATCTGCTCTTCAAGATGCTTGCCAATGGAAATTCCATGTTGACTTGACAGCCTATCAGAAATACTTGCTGAAGATTCAGAAAAGTGAGAGGGAAGAAAGGAAACTAGAGAAGCCTTGGGGCATGGGGGTTTAGTCCTGGAGTACAGGCAGGACCTCCAAGCCCGGGTACCTCACTTCCTGGTGTTTTAGGAGAGGCTTAGTGTTGTTGTCCTATCATTTTGGAACACTGCCTGTATATGTCAGCACTGACTTATGTATGCTCTTTTCCTACAGGAATTGTTGAAATTCAAACTTTGTCATCCTTATTTATTCTTCTAAAAACCACATTTGGTTTAAAGATTCTGTTTGCTATAGATGGGGAAAGAATTTACATTCAGCTCTCTAGTGCATGGAAAAGAAGGACGTTAGGTCTGTGTGGCACTTTTAATGGCAACATCAGGGATGATTTTCTGTAAGTATGATTAATGTGTAGTCAATTAAGGTTAATGACTGTCAGTTTAGAGGATATGAATTCATTAAGAACGTTTACATAGCTGATATGAATTTAGTAGTCACTGGTCTAAGCTTCACGCACCACTATATTTAAGTTTTATAGCATTTCTCTGATTCGTGTCCTTATTTACAAATCAGGAAAGAAACCCAGACACCAAGAGGAAAAAGAAATAATTTAAGGTCTGGGGCTGGAGAGATGGCTCAGTGGTTAAGAACATTGGTTGTTTTTGCAGAAGATGCAGGTTTGAATCCCAACACCCACATGGCAGCTAACAACTGTCCGTAACTCCAGTTCCAGGAGATCTGACAGCCTTTTCTGTCTTCTGCAGGCATTGCATGACATGGATGCACTTACCTACACGGAGGCAATACACGCATACACATAACATAAAAGTACTAAAATAAAATATTTTAAAAATAATTCAAGGTCATTTCTCTCTGGGATTTTAGTTTTAACACTCATGAATCCTTTGCACCCAAGAAATTTTATGCAAACATATATATATATATCATTTATTTTAAATATTTTAACTGGAGTTACGGACAGTTGTTATCTGCCATGTGGGTGCTGGGATTTGAACTTGGGCCTTCTGCAAGAACAACCAGTGTTCTTAACCGCTTAGCCATCTCTCCAGCCCCATAAATTTATTTTAAAACAATTCTTTGCTGTAGTTCCAACTTTACCATTTGTTAAAGATGAAAACAAGTTTGCATGCATATGCGATGGAGGTGTTTGTTTATTTTTATATAAAGAAGTCAGTCTTGATATTGCAGGACTTCAGCATCTTCACCATACTTCAGATTTGCTCAGTATTTTGATTTTATGATCATCAGTGCTGAGAATGCTGTTTCTCATAAATTTGTAGTACAAAATGGCAGAATTGTGCTTAAGATCATTTCAGAGACTGTTGAAAATTTTGTCCTAATCATAAACCAAAATTTAATGATTTTAAAAGTAAAACTCGTCAGCACCTAAAACAGTAATTCTTAAAATCAAGCCCTCTACTACAACACAATCCAAAGATATACTAATTTGAGATTCATATAGTGAGGAATTGTGGTAGGAAAATATTAAAAGTCTTTGTTTTCTGTAATTAAGTCATTACATTTCTGTAAGAGTAAAACCCTTTATGAAGAATAAACACTATAATTCATAATATGCAGTAAGTTTCGAGTCTGAGCTGAGTTGTTTTAGGCAGTGTTTGTTGATGTTCATGGCATGACAGTGGAAAGTGTTCATGTCGTATGTTCAGAACCAAGGGTGCATAGGAGTCATGCGCCACAGGTGAGCATTGGCAGAAACACATTGGTTTCATAACACAGTTGATGTGTGCGTGCGTATGTGTGCATGCACGCATGCACAGGTGCACATCTATGTACGTAGGCCAGAGGCCAAACCTGAGTATCATTTCTTAGGTGCTGACCACCTTGTTAACTGAGGCAGGGCCTCTCATTGACCTGGAGCTCACTGATTAAGCTAGGCTGGCTGGCCATTAAGCCCCAGGGATCCGCCCATCTCTACTTTCCCAGCCCTTTGATGACAAATGTGTACCAACATGTCTGGTATTTGCACGTGGGTCTTGGGATGGGACAAGGTCTCATGTGGCTCAGGCTAGATTAGAACCTATAATGTAGCCAAGGATGGCCTAACTCCTGACATAACTGCTTCCAACTCCCAAGTGCTGGGTTACATGTGCGTGCCTCCATGCTTGACTTTATTTTATTTTGACTTTAGTTGAGGCCATAGCACATTCAGAAACCTTTGTTGCCAGTTTTCATGACCCCCCCATATTCAGTTACATGATCTCATGTGTGTTTATGACCACAGTTCAAGAAGCTGTGATGTAGGTACTGGAGCCAGGCTTGAGTTTTGGCAGTGTAGCTCAGGATGTGGGCTAACTGCTGCCTCCTTTTCTAGTCTCTGCTTCCTGTCAGGTTCAGCAGTGTTCTGCTTTTGAAAATGTGCAGTCATTTAGAAAATCTCAGTGTCACTTTGTTATTAATGATAGTAAGTTATGTTTTAAAAACACTGGTAGCATTTGATATTACTGATAGTTCCAAGGCACATTGTGGCTCCCACGTTCACTGGATTTTGTGACAATACACTGGCAGAAAAACAATAAACTATGTCTGTTTCCCTTGAATTTAGGCTGCACTTTTCAATGCCTGTGAAAAGGAGCAGTGTATAGTTTAGTATACATGGTACGAGTACTTGCTCTTTGGCTCGAGGCCGAGTGGGAGCCATTTAAGCAAGAGATTCACTTCTTATCCTCCAGCAACTAGTGTTGCACATTAGGAAGGGATTCTAGCCATTAAGAAAAATAAAGAATTGAAGAAAACCAAACTCTGGTGGTTGGGGGTGGGCAGGGCTAAGGGTAGAAATGATGAAAGAGTGTTGTTGTTCAAAGAATGAATAGAGATCTCTTGTACAGTCTAGTGCCAGGAGTTAATGTATTAGATAATTAAAAATATCTAAGGGACTGGATATCAAGCGTTCTTATGCAAAACTGGCAAGAATGTGAGCTGATAGATATGTCCATTAGCTTGGTTTAACCACTGCACAGTGGATTCATGCATGTCCAAAGAACTATTTTATATGCTTTAATTTGTACAAACTTTAAGTTGCCAACAATATCTACACGAAAGATTCTAATGAAATATTTAGTCTTAGGTGAGGCATTCAACTGATAATGCACATCAAATGCTGAGATAATTTCAAAAAATTAAGTGTTGCTCTCTGTGGTCATGGCTAGATATAAAATTAGAGGTTGTTGTGAGCTGGGCAGTCACAGGACATGTTATAGACAAGCTGTTCTCTAAATACCATGTGTTTTTATAAACACCTTCACACATAATCTTTCTGTTTGGGGTGCTTCTACTTTGTAATCTTGATCATAAATTCTGGTTTAATGCTCAATCCAACTCAGATGGCATTTGCTTTTAAAACCTAGTTTATATTCCAGCAAACAAAATTGAATGTAGATTATCTATGAAAATCATAATTTATCAGTTTTTCACATCATGTTGCCAGGATGATGAGATCCAGACCCATATCCTTAATCCTTATATTCACAGGAATCTTGTCTATATTGGACAGTGAAATTGAAGTGAGCAGAATTTTTAATAGGGCATCAAGAAGAGAATTGAGTGGATGAGACCTGACATTTAAAATTAAAAGTTCAAAACCTAGAATTTCTTTCATGGTATCTCCCTATGATTTATTTGCTTTTAGGTATTTTTTAAAATTTGTGGGTTAGAATAAGGGTATCTTTATCACATTTGCAAAACAGAAACTATGCTAAGAGGCTTGAATAAGAAGTCCAGAAAAGACATTAAGCCTTCTTTCTCAGCCTTGTTTGTCAGACTGGGTTAGCAGTCAATGTTTAACAGATGGCAGATCTAGCTGTCACTTTCCAAGGCACCAGTCTCCTCTATGCATAAACATTCAGCTGCGATAAGAATGCAGGATAATATTTCAGTCAGAGATAACTCCTGAACATTGTTTAGCTTTCCAACTAAAGTAGTTAAAATTCTTTACTTGACAAAGGTTAATGTGAATCCACAAACATAGTTTAATGGAAAATATTAATTGAAAATTTATTTTACATGCCCTGTTACAGCAGGTCAAGTACGGTGAGCTGAATGGTTATTTTATAAGGTAAAATACAATAAATAAATGGGCCTACATTCTGGCTCCTATCTTTAAAAAGTGAACTAAGTGAACTAAGAGAGCCAGGCTCTGGGTAGGTCCTGCTGGGAATACTGGCTACACTCATCACCCCAAGCTATTTTGTTGTCCCTGGGAGCAGGAAAGAAAAAAGGAGAGGAAAGTTAGTACAAGTCATGCAGTTTTTTAAAGTCTCAGTGCTTTCATTTACACAAAATGAGGTTTTGCATTAAATTTGCTGTATTTCTTTACAGTTCTAGCATGGCTTGTTGAATAGGAAAAGGAAGAAAGGATGGGGATGAGGGATGGTTGTATACCTTCTCAGTCATCAGTACCTCTGAGCCAGATGTTTATAGTTTGCTTCTCTGTTGCTATGATAAACACTATGACCAAAGCAATGTGGGGAGGAAAGTGTTTATTTCACCTTAGAGCTTACAGTTCATCAGGGAAGGGAGGAGGGCAGGAGCTCAGAGCAGGAACCTGGAGGCAGAAACTGAAAAATGCAGTTTTCAGTTGAAGCCCAGACCACTGAAAAATGCTGCTTACTGGCTTGCTCCTCTGGCCTGTGTACAGCCTGCTTTCTTATACAACCCAGGACCACCTGCCCAGGGCTGGCACCACCCACAGTGGGCTGAGCCCTCCCACATCAATCAATGATCAAGAAAATGCCTCACAAACATACCATCATGCCAGTCCCATAGAGGAACTTCCTAACTGAGATTTCCTCATCCCAAGTGTGTCAGGTTGACAGCCGAAGCTATTGAGCAATTACCAAAGCAGTTCACCTTGTTTGCTGTGAGAACTGAGGTCAAGCCTCCTCTTCTATTAAGACACATTGTAGCAATGAGCACAGGGTGCAACTTCTGGCTGAACTATTCCTGTTGGAGACCTAGTCTGCCTTCATCTATATTAGGAGTTTTGACAGGGTCTGGCACAGTGCCCAAGAGTGAGGCCACTTAATACACACTGGCTGTTGATTAATGAACTTGGATTTGGATGGCTGTTGGAGGTAGAATTTAATATTTGACCCCTAAAAATTGTAATTTCTAAGTTTGACTTCTGAAAAGCAGTTGTTTCTCTTTTTCTTTGGTTTGTTGGGAAAACTGAAGAGGTGCTCACATATGCCCCCTATTTTATTTTGGTTTGTTTGCTCAATAATTCATACCTCACAATATAAATTGATATAAAGAGCCGAGAATATAGACTATTATGTTCTGTGATATTTGTCTTTAGCTCACCTGTCTCTACATTCACCCTAAACCTCACTCACATTAAATGTCCTGGTTGTGTGAGTGATGCTTCGTTAACTGAGTGGTCGCCAGATCTGAACCTGAGTTTTGTCATTTGTCAGCTTAATGAAATTTAGCATTTATCTGAGCTTCTGTTTTGCTTTCTTTATAAAATGGACTTAGGATATTTTCTTCATAAGGCAGAAATAGATTCAATAAAATTGTGTATGTTTATAATTTAGCACCTTGTGAAATCTCAATAATAGGACCTATATATATTTCTTTTTGAATATATATTTTCTCTCTCTCTCTCTCTCTCTCTCTATATCTCTCTGGGTCTCACTGTGTAGCCCCAGTTGGCCTGGAACTTGCTATGCAGACCTTCCCAGTCTGGCCTTCATCTCACAGAAATTCTTCTTCCCCCACCTCCCAAATGTGAGATTAAAGGCATGCACCACCACATCTGGCTAGTTTAATATTTCTTAAAAACCACTAGAAAACTTAAAGCTCTAAGATTTCTTTACATATTAAGAAAAAATAGTATTGTTGTATTTGAATATTTGAAGAGTATGCGCCAATGAAACGAATATGGGAGAGTGCAATGAACATTTTCTGGGCTTTCTTAGTTCTCCATCAGGCATGATAGAAGGAACCCCACAGCTTCATGCAAATGCATGGAGAGTTTCCTCCACTTGTTTTGCACCTGTTCATGTGCCGATGGTGGACCCCTGCAGCATTAATCAGCAGAACAGTAAGTCTTTCTTTCTGCATGTAAACTTGGAGGAGACGTTCACTGTGTTACTCTAATTTCATATTATGCTGAGATTTTTAAATTATGATTTTATTCATCAATGCCATTCCTCATGCATTTTTGTTTAATTATATGTCTACATAAATGCATTTTTAAGAGTAATTGAAGCTAACAACCCTTATTACTGTGCATATTGTAAAATTTGCATATTGTAGGTATTTATAATACTCTTTTTCTCAAGTGTGGGCTGTATTTTAGATCTTTCAGAGTCTTCTAATGCTGAAAACATCCTAATAATGCTGTTACAGATCCAGCCTTGGCTTCACAGTGCAGTAACTCATGGGCCTGTCCTGTTTATTCCTACCCCAGCACATATTATATCTTCCTAAGCAGAGAGCCCATAACCCAATGATGGTTTTGTGCCATTTGAGACAGTCATGCTTTAGCTCTGCAGTTTGCAATGACAAAACAATTCACATATTTTTGTACATGCATGTCCAAAAATACATTTTTGACTAAGGCCAGTAAGTCATAGTAAAGGAGACTGTCTAGGTAAAATCTAATGTGCAAACTAGTGCATTTATATGTGTGTGTGTATTAATTTTAATTTGTTCCCTTACTTTGCCTATTTTACCATTTTCATGTAGTTAATTTTTATATTCTACAACATGGATTGAGCATCCATATGTAACTTCCAGATTCTGTACTGATTGTATGGAAGGACTCTGCTGATTGTTTAATGCCTTTTATTATTAATTTAGTGTTAATGTATTGGAAAGAAAAAAAAATCTTGCTACAACACGTAAAAAAAATTAGAACAACATTTAAACTCAAGGAATGACAATGTCATTTTTTTTCCTATCTAAAGAGTAAAATAAAGTCTTTGGTCTATATGATTTATTATTTTTAATCTCATTTCCATTTTCCTCCATTCTGTCCTATTTTTTTTTTTTGAGATAGGGTCTCACTATGTAGTTCTGGGTGGCCTGAAACTAGACTGGCCTGGAACTCATAGAGATCCACCTGCCTCTGTGCCCCGAGTACTGGGATCAAAGGTGTGTGCCACCATGCCTGGTCCTGTTCCAATTTTTTATTAAAACTTCAACTAATCTTGTTTTATATCTGACATTCATAATTTCTTCCTTGCTATTGCACAACTTTATTCTTTTTAATTAACATGTAAAAGTTTTGTGACTGGAGACATGGCTCAACAGTTAAGAGCACTGTCTGCTCCTACAGAAGACCAAGGTTTGAATCTCAACCCACATGGCAGCTAACAACTGTCCGTAACTCCAGTTTCAGGGATCCAATGCCTTCTTCTGGCCTCCCAAAGGCACTGAATGACATGGGTGCACTTACATACATGCAAGGACAACACTCATATACATAAAAAATGTAAAACTTTCAGTGTCACTTCATAAGTTGTTCCCTTCCAGTTATGTCTTTACTCATCTTCCTCATCGATGCCATCTTACCATGTTTTCTATCACTTTTCTCCACAATCTATATCTTCTATGACATATGCTTTGGATATTCTCTTTTTCAACCTTAGCTGTGAACTATGATTTTAAAATAATTTCAAATAAGTAAATTCACAATGGTTCCAAAAGACAAAATAAGACAAAAGTCAACAATTCTGAAAGGATTCTGTATATTTTCTCGCATGAATCTTCTTGCATTACCCTTTACTTACGTCACTGGAAATGCATTTCAGTCTACAAATTTTTAGGGACCAAAATAATATCCTTATCTGTGTTAATTTGCTCTTTCAGGATTGCTCTTTCTTGTTATTAGGAAACTGCATACCAGCAGTGTTCAGCCATTTGTTTTATATATATCTACTGCATATGTGTACATTGCATACTCAATGCAAAAACATAGTACTTAGGCAACTACCAGGGTGTTTACTATTAAGAAATATGCCTTGGATCTATGAAGAGTTAGGGTGAGGACCAGGGGTGACTATGATCAAGATACATTGTATAAAATTCTCAAAGGATGACTACAAATTACATTAAATAAATAAATATGAGAAGTTCTCAACAAAATTAATTCAGTGTTATTCCTTGATAGTAAAATATTTCTGGTGTCCAATGGCTCATCTATCTCTCAGTGACACTTACAGTATACAGACGGATTGATTTTTATCTGTACAGAAACCAATGCAAACAAGGTCCCCTTTTCTGAAAGATAGTAACTTAGTAATCTTGTCAAACTTGTTTTGCAAATCTTGTCCAGGATTGTTTCTGGTCATTTACTAAATTGAAGGTTTGAATATATACACAGATTTATCCAAATGATATAATGATTACTGTGGTTCATAGATTTCAACATGTACCCCAATTCCTGATTTCTATTTATGAATCACATATCCTTTTACTCATAGATTTATTAATCAAGCATAACTGAGTTCCTAATGTCTGCCAGACATTGTACACTGTACATTGTACAGATGTTGAAGTCAGTGACTCTGTGGCATCTGCCACGTATACTTTCACCCTAGAGATGCTATTGGAACAGCTATTTCCATTCCTTCTGGGATAATTATGTATTCTATGAATTTGTCACTATATCCATAACTTGGATTCACTTTTGTCGTTTGCAGAAACCTGGAGATAAGAATCCCAAATCCTCATAGCAAGTGTCCTGTGGTGATCTGCAGGCCTGGCTGACCCAGGCTACTGCTTCTGTCAACCATTCTGTTACTCATGTTATTTAGGTTCACCACATTTTATTTTGTGTTGTAAACTTAGCTAAAAGACTATTGAATATTGATTAAATGCTGTTATCAGTGTTATTAACAGTATAATTTTTCTCATTTAAAGTAATAATCAATACACTTATAGGAAAGGAAGATACTTAAGCCACTTTGGTGCCTGATTCTTAGAGTCAGATCTGACCCAGCATATGAGACATTCATGGCTTCTTTGTCTGTTAGTTGGATATGCAGCACACTGTGATGTCATCCACCAGGAGCTCTTTGCTCCTTGCCACCTTTACGTGAGCCCAGGACTGTACTATCAGCTATGCCGCCATGATGCATGCAAGTGTGGAAGTGCCTGCCTGTGCAATGCTCTTGCTCACTATGCCTACCTGTGTGGTCGGCGGGGTGTACCTATTGATTTCAGAGCTCAGATTTCATTCTGTGGTGAGTATGATGGCATAGGGAGCTGATCAGGTAACTCTTTAGAGAATTTTGTGCTCATAACTGCTGATTTTATTTTTTAAATGAAATGTCACTATTGCATATAAATTATTTGGAATTCTTATAGGGTACAAGTATTAAAAAACAAATGAATACTTAGTTTAAACTGGAATTATGTTGTGTAAGAGAACTAATAACCTGAGGGCTAAGTGATATATTGCTTATCTAGCATTGAGAGGGTCTTTGCTTTAATACTAGTGGGGGAAATTGAGGAGGAGGAAAGAGAGAGGGAAGGAGGGAGGGAAGGAAAGAGAGAACTAATAATTTTTGACTATTTGTTACAAACACAGAGTCTGCTCATGTATCTTGAAAAAAACATGAGAAATAATTTGAAAATTTTGAAAAGATTATCATGGAAATGTCATATCTAAATATTGAGAAGTATGGAAAAGCATGTTGCAGTGAGTGACATGATCAATCTACAGTTAAGCAGGTACAGTGCTGTAGCCAGTTACTATTTCATGTTCCTGGACTCCCGTTTCTTGGTTACAGTATCCACTATTCCACTGAAGGTAGAGAGATTCCATATATGCCCTATAATTATTTTTTCAGGTGTAACCCTTGGGTCTTCTGTTTCTTTATAAGTAAAGTTTGTTGGAAACCCGTCACACTTACTTGTTTACGCACAGCCTATGACTGCTTCAGTGTTCCAAGGATAGAGTTGGGTGGCTGTGGCAGAGATAAGGGCTTACAAAGCTGTAAATACTTACCCTTTGGCTCTTGACAGGGAAGGTCTTCTGACCCCTGCTTTGGTCCCTCCTTTCAACTGAGGCTGCTCATCTTTGTGAATTCAGCTTAAAGCTGTTCAAATTTCTCGCTTTATATTTCCCATTTCCACATAAGTGAAATCCAAAATCTAAGACATGGAGGACCAACCCCTCCTCAAGTCAAGTTCTAGGTTTTATTTCCCTCTTTACTTCTGGTGGTTGGAACTATCCTCCACACACTTAAAGTAATTTCAGTTGTGTTTTTATCAGAATTTTCTACGTGTGTCCTTGAGTAAACTTTAGGTTATTTTAACCTGTCTGCCATATCAGTTCAATTTGGTCTAAAGAGAAATTGGAGGTGTTCTGAAAAAAGTATTAACATGATTAAGAAGGAAAAAAAAATAAATAAAAGAACACTGTATGGACTAACAAAATTAAATTGTGCCACACTATAGAAGACTAAAAGCTTACAAACGTTTCAAGAACACTGGGAAGGTGATGATGACTTCATAGCACTATGCAGATTTAAAATGTAATTGCAGGAAGTTTACTCAGTTAAAAGACACTCTTTATGACAAAAGAAATATGGTTGTATTTCTGGGCAGAGGGGAACCCAGCAAGTTCCAGGCCAGCTGGGGCTACAAGGAGATCCTGTCAAAAAAAAAAGAAAAAGAAAAGAAAAAAAAAAGAAATGGGTTATAGGTCTTTAAAGGGTTGCAGAAAGTCAAAGTGAAATTATCTTAGGTGTAGGAATTCCATGCATCTGTTACATGCCTACTGAGACCAGGAATATTTATTTGTTTTTCTGTTATGGAGTGTGTGGTGGTATGTTCTCTGTTGTAAGATAACTTTCGGCTCATGATTTATGTCTTCCTTGGACCTGTGAGTGTGTCATGTCTCTGTGCTCCTTGGAACTCTCTTCATTGACAATGGTTTGTCCATAGCCGTGGTGTGCCAGAGGGGCATGATGTACCATCACTGCTCCTCTTTCTGCCTCCGTTCCTGCACCTCTCTTTCCTCCCTTGCGCAGTGTGATGACGACTGTGCTGAAGGTTGTAACTGTCCTGAAGGCAAATTCTATGAAGACACGCTGAACTTCTGTGTGCCCATGTAAGTCATAGTAAGGCTTGACAACATCCAGATTGTTTTCTTCTGATAGGCCAAATGAACTAGTGTGTTTGTTTCTTTAAATTTCTAAATATCTTTTAAAAATACCATGTACAAATAACTACAGAAAGCAGGAAGGGTTCTGCTGATTAACCCCGAAGCTTATCCCTACTTGTTTTCTCCATCTCCAAATCGGTAACAAGGCTTATATTTCACTCTCCTGTGAATAGCAGGATTGCAATATCTGTCAGCACTCAGAAAGTTCAGTCTTCACATGAAGTGAAGACTTGTTTTACACATAGGGTTAAATGATAGGTCAATTGTGTTTCTCTGAAGTGCCTTCAGTGACTTTTCTTGGGACTAAACTAACAGTTCAGAACTATTTTGGCAAACAAAATCTGCAGCTACTGCATCTAAACAGTTTCTGCCATTTGAACAACAGAATTGTGTGCAGTCACATAGAATAATGGCAGCCTATGGGGACAGTGCAGAGCATAGGCTCTGCTGGAGTTTAATTGAGTTGGAAGGAATTTATATCTTATTTTATTCATTTCTCCATCCCCCCACTTTAGACATCACTGCCGGTGTCATTATAAGGGCAACGTTTATCAGCCTGGGGAACTCATCCCAACACCTTCAGGCTTGTGGTAGGTTTCAATGAATATATTAAATATATATTATATTAGTATATGGAATAGGAAATGTTTGAGACTGGTGACTTCAGAAAAGAATTCTAAATTTATTTTATTTAAAATTTTTATTTATTTTTATTTTATGTGTATGAGAGTTTTGTCTGCATATATGAAAGTGCACTACATGTGTGCAATGGCAGTGGAGGCCCACAAAGAACGGAGAGCTGAGGAAGTCAAACCTGCATATAACAATCCATCTTGGAAACAATCCGGCTCTAAAAGATCAATAATGCCTTGTTCTAGATAATAAGCACAGTAATCTCCTTTGAAAGTGGTTCCCCTATAATCAAATCAGCTTGTACTGAGCCCTTCCTCTTAAAGATCCCACCTTGCAAGACCACGACACTGGGGACCAATCTTCAACATGAGTTCTGATGTGAATAAATCACAGTGAAACTGTTTTATATCTGGTCTCATCTGCAGAATTGTGCTAAGTATTGGAAAAGAACTCTTTTCATTTACTATAATTGAATTTACTTATGTGAACTTACTGAAAAAGTCCATCCTTCCTCATTGCAAAAAAAAATTAAAAAATGAGTATTGAATGATTTTTTAACCTTTATAAAAGATCTCCATTTCATTTTAAAATATTGTATAACTGTATTAATTCAACAGTGAACCTAAAAGTTTTATAGCCACTTTTGGAAGAGCTATATATTTGCTCTGAAAACTTTTATTGAATATGTTAAAGCTGTAATGAAATGCTTCTTAAAATGCCTATGGTCCAGAAGACCTGATTGTCTTTGTTCTTGTATGGCATTTGTTGTATGAGCTGACCACACCTCTGAGTGTCATTATGTTGCTAAATGACTAGTGTGTGTGTGTGTGTGTGTGTGTGTGTGTGTGTGTGTGTGCATTAAATCTGAGGTGGTCCTTCATGTAACAGTTTCTTCATTTCACCTCAACTATAAAATACATAATTTGCTTTAAAGCTAAATGAAAATCTGTGCTGGAGTTACTGAGAGCTGGTGTGTATCACCTGTCATGTTATCTTCTTAAGGGGTTTATCTTAATGTTTCAAGGTACCTGTGACTATATCCCATCTTCTGTGCTTAGATGCTTTGTCCTAGATGCATACATTATTTCCTAAAATTCAAACCGATCACCTCACTTCCATGTTTAAAGTCTTTAGTAGCTCAGCTCAGGGGTAAAAATCTTATCATCAGAGCAGGGTCTGGCCTTACTTCTTTTGCTAAGTTCATCTCCTTGTTAAACAGAACACTGTTTTGTACCTTGTGGCCTATTTCCACTGAGTGTTACAGCCTTCCCACCTCTTACAAGTTACAATCTCTATCTATTATCCAAAATTGCTCAGGTTTTACCACCTTTGGCCAGTTACAAATAGACTTTTTAAATGTTTATGTTGTTTTATTTTACTTCTATCTCTTAAAAGTGTTTTTGTGCTGTGTGTGTTATGTTGCACAAATAATCAATTGTGTACTTTCCTTTTTTACTAGAATACAAGCACTTGGGTCAGGCTATTATAATATTGTGGTGTTTGATTCCCCATGCATCTCACAATGTCTCATACATGGAGGTGCTTGATAAAGATACATCAGAATGAATTAGCTCTCTTCAAGCTAGACTGAAGACAATCATTTATATGTATAAAACCTCCATTTGGGTCCATAAGTTAACTATTTCTTTATTTCTAGCCAGTGTTCAAATGGGACTGTGAAATGTGATGAGGCAGCAACACCCTCTACTGGTGAGTTCCAGATAAAGGTTTTCCTTTAGAAAAGTGCAAATTTAACACTGCCCCTAGTCTTCTGGAAGAAATTCTCTGTCCCTCACAGCCCTCCTTACCCATGTATATGTATACAGTCATATATTCAGCACCATGCTCCAGTGTTTCCAAAATTTTTCACATTAAGAATTAGAATATCTTTAGGAAAGTTTGGGTGAGCATATAAGGCCACCTGGAGGCACAGCTGATCAGTCGAGGGATGTAGCCTCTACACTGTCTACTCCAGCACCACCTTAGGTGCCCCAAATCTTTAGGGTATAACCCAGATGCTAGTTGGAACATATTTGTGGATCATAAATTGGGAAAATCAGTTCTAGGCCGGGCTAGCACTTCTTAGATTTAAGGTACACAGTCACTTGGTGAACTGTCCAGACACAGTTTCTGATTTGAATCAATGCCGGAGATTCTTCATGTCTACCAATGGCTGAAGTAATGTCAGTGATTCTAGCTTCTGGGCTGTGTCTGAACGGGAAGGTTCTGGGAGTAGTAACAGTCAATTAAAAATGGGATATAGTTAGGCTTGGTGGCATACCCCTGTAACTCCAGCACTGAGGAGATGGAGGCAGGATCATCTAGAGTTCAAAGCCAGCTGCAGTTATGTTAGCAGTTGAAGCCAATCAAGGTTGAATAAGATCCTGTTACAAAAAAAAGAAAATAAAAACAAAAGGCATATAGAAAGACATCTAACATTATTTCTCTTAGAATGCCACTTTCCACTGGAGTGTTTCCTGAGCATGTTACATGGTAGAGGACTGTATACCTTCTTTATTTTCATCAGATGAAGAAGTAGCCTCAGAATCTCAGAGACTACAGAGAAATTCTGAGCAAAAACTCTTTCATTCATTTTGTTTGATAGGGAGATTTAAACTTTGTTACTTATTTGACTATCCAAGTAAGTATTATTATAAAGCATGGTGGTGTATACCTATACTCCTAGTTAAAGAGGCTGAGACAGGAATTCCAGACAACCATAGTGAGACCCCGTCTCTTAGAAAACAACAAAAGAAAACCAAAACCTGTGAATTATGTGTTCTAGAATTACTGTATGAGGATTTAGGCCTGTTTATTTCTTCTCTATAGCTTATATTCCTGGACATAGCTATTATCTCAGTAGGTACAAAGCAGGCCTTTTCTGACCCTCTTGTTTCAAGGTTACTCATAGCAAAATCAGGGAAGGACAGTTAGCCTGATTTCTCACAGGGAGTCCTCAAGATTCTATCCCTTTGATTCCCACACAAGAGTTTTATTCGATTCTCACAACACAAAAGCCTTCTAAAGAAGTAGGTAGCCCATCATGCATCTATAAATGTGTCCACTTCTGCACTTTATAGTATAGTGAAGGCTGATGAAAATAACAACTCAGAGGCAAGGCAAGATCTAGAAGTAACACATACTCACGTGGCTGTCAAAGTTTAAATATGTATTGTAGTTTTCAAAATGTGTGTGTTTCAATTGATCAACGTACCTTGTTTCTTTTTAAAGAGTATTTTATTTTATTATTTTAATTGTGTGTGTATGAGTGTATTGCCTGAATGTATGTTAGGTGCACCTGTGTCATGCAGTGCCTGCAGAGGTCAGAAGAGGGTGTCAGGTCCCTTGGAACTGGAGTTACAGATGGTTGTTAGGCGCCATGAGGGTGCTGGGAATCAAACTCAGGTCCTCTTCAAGAGCAGCCAGTGCTCTTAACCGCTGAGTCATTTCTCTAGCCTCCGGTAGCTTGTTTCTTGACTTTGGGAAATTATAGACTATTTAATTGCTTTGGAAGGTTGCTAAGGTTTTCAAATTCAAAATAGGATTTGCAAGTTTTGATTACTGAACAGGCTTTGTATAGGTAATGTTCATAGGTTCATCAACTCAAGAATCACAAAATCCTTTAATCATAACATGAAATAGCTTATGGTGAACTTTGATTTTGATGATAAACTCATGTCCGTATGATTGTTTGTCTGTGGAGAAAATACCAAGTTAAACCCATGTCATCTATTCTTTATCTCTGAAGTTCATGCCTGTCCAGAAGGAAAGGAATATTATGACTGCAGGTTTCCTGACCCTGAATTACCAGCTGGTGGTATAAACTGTGAGACCACATGTGCAAACCTGGCCATGAACTTCACGTGTGCCCCATCATCACCTTGTATAAGTGGCTGTGTTTGTGCTCCAGGGTAAGATTCTTTAATAATACCACCATTTGAGATTTGAAAGGAAAAGTACAGTGTCTTAAAAATATTCTTGGGGCCAGAAATATGATTTAGTGGTAATAGCACTTGCCCCACAAGCCTGACAACCTGAGTTCAATCCCTGGAGCTCACATAAAGGTGGAAAAGAAGTGATTACTCAGAGTTGTCTCTTGACTTCCACATACATGTCATGACACATGCAGGCTCACATACACACACCACATACACAATAACAATAATGAAAACATGAAAAATATTCTTTATAGAAATAGTCAAAATTCTTTTATTTTTTTAAAAGGTGGTTGACTTTGTCTGGTATCTAGAAGACTTTTTAGGTTGCTAAACTAATATAGCATTGTACAATATTACTAAAGTCATACATTGAATTGAAGAAAGAACATATTTTAGATGAGGTTGGGATTTCTCCCCTGATTCACTTGCACTTTGGGACAAGTGACACAATTAGTCATTTTCATTCAAAATGCTCTCCAAGTTTGGATCTTATATAAATTCTATTGGTATGGTTACTGTTGTTGATATTAATTTGCAATAGTGAAGTGAATGCTTTATTTTCTTAATATTACAGGAAACTGTATTGAGACTAAACAGGGGAAAGCTTACAAGTGGAAATTCTACTTCCTACACCAGCATTCTGCAACTGTTAGCTGAGTGATATTCAAAATGCTCTCCAAGTTTGGATCTTATATAAATTCTATTGGTATGGTTACTGTTGTTGATATTAATTTGCAATAGTGAAGTGAATGCTTTATTTTCTTAATATTACAGGAAACTGTATTGAGACTAAACAGGGGAAAGCTTACAAGTGGAAATTCTACTTCCTACACCAGCATTCTGCAACTGTTAGCTGAGTGATTCT